AGGGAACTTATTCTTTTCCCTGTTTAGGGCCAGGGGCTTCACCACAAGTCCCCCTTTTTTGTTTTTCGCAAAGTGGAGGCGGAATCAAGTGGCCCCTGTCTTAGGTCGTCTACCGCCCTCATGTCACTTACCCGTCTCTGGGGAGGCCCTGATCCCCTGTCTTAGGTTGTGACATGAGCGTAGAAGTTGCCCGTCTCTGGGTACCACAAGATAAACACACCGAAGGAGCCGTTTTATGGGAACAGATTACATTTTCAAATGAGCAAGCCAGACCTGTGGAGAATCACCCTGTTCTAGAGCTGCAAGAGCTTGTACAATCATTGCCTTTTCTAACATATGGCGGGCCCTAAGGCGACAGAGAAGCCACAAACAAAGTACGATACCAAAGCAACACATTGTCCCAAAAATGCCCACTCCCACCCATTCCTTAAAAAAGGAAAAGGCAGAGGACAGCCAACTGGTGAGTTGACCCAAAGTCACTGGTTCGACACGGGTACTATTCAAAACAGCAATCTGAGTCAGTTGAGACTGGATCAAGTTTTCTGCTTCCAAGGACCAGGTTTCGGACAGGTATTCTCCGATGATGTGAGAAGCATTTCTGGAATCATTAAATCTGACAGAGGTTATGCATAAATGTGCACGTTGATCAATACAACCCAAATGTACCAGATCAGACAATTCCTCAACTTGAGCCTGAAGCAGATCTATCCTTTGACTAGCAGCCAAAATCCCAGATAAAATATGTTGATTGAGTTTACTTTGAGATTCAAGTACAGTGGATGTTTGTTGAATAACCTGATTAATAGTGGCAGCAGTTTGTACTTGGCTGGCCATGGCAACTCCAGCTGTAACAGCCGCAGCTGCAGAAACTGCAACAGCGGTAACTATAGCTGCTGTAATTCCAAAATCTCTACGCTGTCTTAGCAGCTTGACAAGAGGAAAATGGTCAGAATCGGCAGTAACAGGAATCGGCACAAAGGTTGGAATTTTCATCACTACTGCTACGGACCAAGAGGCATTCCAACATTCGGCCAGGTAACAGGTGACATTAGAACAGTCTAAAAAATCTTTGGTGGAGTCATTAGCCAGCAGAAACAGGAAAGGGGACTGGAGGCAAACTGGGGCAGGAGGCAGAGAGGCATTAGTAAATAAGGAGTTATAAGAACGAGGTGTGAAGCGCCGGCCATTGTGAGTCTCAGCGACGGACCCAGAAACATTATGAAGCCAGTCCCGGGTTCCCAGAAATTGCGCCACTGCAGAAATATCTGCCGTGGCCCCCCGTTCATTTGCCACCAGCCACTGAAACCAAGGCCAGCCATCTCCAACAGAAGAATTACCACTAGAGGAGTTAAGAACAAACCTCTTTAAAGACGGAGAAAGGGAGAATCCATCAGCGATCTGAAGTTTGTCCCAAGACAAGCCCTGACAGGATGTAAAGATTGGAGGGAATTCTTTATTAGGAGTGCATAGGGGAGAGGCTCGGAAACGGGTAGCATTAGGGGTCTTATTTTTTGGTGTCATGGGTACTACCACCTCCGAAGTTGTCATTAGGGTAGTAATATTTAATGTCCCTTTAGAGGTGTCACCCGAGCCACTTTGCATCCCCTGGCTTACTTGTGTGAGCGCAGCTAAAAGCATGCCATCTGACACCTTGTTTGACTGCATGGGATCTTCCCAGACAGTCACATTTTTAACTCAGAGGGAGATGCAATTATTTTCGCTCATGGCAAAGCAAAAGACTCCCTTAAGGGACACACGGGACCCATTAAAAGGAGTAATGGAATCTCCCCGAGGTGCAAGGCAAGGTGCATTCAAGTCACATGAAGTGGAGAAAAGAGTAGGGAGAAAACTAGAATTAGCATGAACTGGCAGTGGCATAGGCCAAGCTCGGGAGGATTTGATGGCATTCTGGCAATAAGTGTTAGCATTTTCATATGCCAGTTGTCTGATAAGTGGCATAGCCTGTTCCAGATTAGGGAATATTTTCCCAGCAGCCTGCATTAGGCGGGCTATAAAGTCCGAATAAGGTTCAGAGGGCCCTTGAGAGATCTTGGAAATTTTTGTTTCTGTCTTAGAAATGGGCAGGGCTTTCCAGGCATGGACTGCAGCTGAGGCTATTTGAGCATAAACACCTGGATCGTAATTAATTTGTTGCCCTATGGTGGCATACTGCCCACTTCCTGTTAACATTTCGGCATTTTGCCGTTGATGGCCCGCATTCAGGTTAATCTGAGCCAGTTCGCGGCACCTTTCATGATATTCACTTTTCCACAGTAAGAAATCTCCTCCAGATAACACAGCCCTGCAAAGTTGCTGCCAATCACTAGGTATCAGTTGACTAGCGGAGAAGGACTCGAAGAGGGTCAATGTGAAAGGGGCATGAGGTCCATAATTAATGACCGCCTCCTTAAGCTGTTTTATGTCCTTAAAGGCTAGGGGGACATGAGCTCTGGCCGGCTGTCCATCAGCATCGGCGTTTTCAATCATTGGAAAAACCTGAGCTGCTCTAGAACCCCAATAGACTCCCGCCCGTCTATTAGGGGTGTCCTCATCCCAGTCAGGATTATAGGGAGGAGGTGCGGCAATTGAGGGAGCCGTAGGCACCCTGACATTTGTCTTTTTAAGGCGATGTTCTAATTCCTCTATCTCCCTTTCTAATCCCTCCTCTTCCTCAGAGAGAGAACTGAGGTCCTCAGGATCCTTTTCAGGCTTAGAGATCTGGAGGCGTTTCTTATTCCCCGAGCCCGAGTCCTCAAGAGGACCCTCATCCTTTAAGGACTCGGCCATTTGTTCCTCCTGTACCTGATTTAGGGCCTGTTCACATTCAGCAAGTTGTTCCTTGATTTTTATTTTGTCTGTCAATAAAGCATCCTTTACTAATCTCCATAAGGAAAATGTGGCAATAGGGACACTATCCGCGCCCCGGTCCCTCAGCAATTTCTGAAGGTCATGTCTCACTAAATCCCAATCATTATTATTAAGAAATCCTCCTGTCAGAAACCAAGGACATGCCTGGGCAATAACTTCAACGAATTCGGTTGCAGTTTTAGTTTTTATTCCTGTTCCTTGTGTATTCAACAACTCTTTCAGTTCGTTGGCCAGACGAACCTTCGCTGTTGAGTTTCCCATGGTACGTACCCTTTTTCTTTAAATTATCTGTAAACCAATCCTCCCCCTTCTCTCTTAGAAGGTGAGCCCCGTCCGCTTACCCCTGCTTTCCGGATCTCGGTGGGGACCTCCAATTGCCGCGTCCGGCCAAGGGAGCCGAGTCCGGCGAGGGACGGCGAGGTTAAAAGACACAGGACACCAAGGTTCTTCATCCAGGAGAGAGAGAGATTTTATTTTTTCCCCCCCTTTTATATATCCTCCCATACTCTGGGTAAAGCATACACACACATACACACATTCTTTACTGCAGGAAGCGGTTTCAGGCAGCTTTTAGCAAACTAGGTCTGGTTTTGCAGGGTGCTCATGCAAGGCTCAGCTGTGCCAGCTAATCAGTAGGTACAATCTGTCCCAGGCTCTCTGTGAGGGCAGATAGACAGGAAGCCCATAAGACTGATTCAGACTTCGGTGGAAGCCCACAAGGCTAATTCAGACTTCGGTGGTTTTCTCGCCTTTACATGCGAAACAAGGGACAGGGAACTTATTCTTTTCCCTGTTTAGGGCCAGGGGCTTCACCACAA